ACATTTTGAGCTCTTCTTTTCAACTTGCCAAGCACAATAGCGGTCTCCATTAGCTTACTACCTATGGCAATTCTGAAACATGTAACAAAGAACTAATACACGTAATCAGATAACGTAGAAAGTAATTTCTTCTGCAAATGCAGGGATTCAACAATGGGAAATTCCTAATTATTGTGGAAATGTATTCGCACGGTTTTCAAATATCTGTATACCGTGATTAGATAATGCAATCACAACGTTCTGCTGTAAAAAAAAAAAAAAAAAAGGCCGATATATATATATATATATATATATAAATAAAAGAACAAATATGGACTGCAAGGACTGCTAAAGTACATAGTTAGGGACTGTAAGTAATTCCTTAGAAATAAAAGAGACTTGGCAAATTAGGCCTTCCTAATATTATTGTCGAAATATTTTCGGTCAAATTTGTCCATTTCAGAAATACTCATAATGCAGTTACATGTGGATTTAGGCCGATTATAGTTTGAAGTTTGTATAAATTATCAGACATTTTGGACTATACCTGTAAATGCCGACTTCCCAACACACGACAGTCATTTAAAAAGAAAAAGAAAAACAGAAAATGAAGAAGAACAAGAAAAACAGAACATGAAGTAGAACGAGAAAAATAAATGTGTATTTAGAAGAAAAAAAAATCAAATCACCGAAAACCATTTATATGGCAGTGGAAAAGCACCCACATATCAAATCATGTACATTTGAGTTATTGTCATCACCAATCCCTCGCAATCCATTAAGTGGAAACGTGCTTGGGTGAATTTCAACTCTTGTTTTCCCGGGTTTCGCGGAAACACAGTCTCGACGGAGAGATCATCTGACCGTCTCTGAACTCGATGAGGAAGGGGTTTGAATGGCGGATCCAGGATACTAGGGCGGGGGGGGGGGGGGGTGCGGGGCTGAAAAAAATGTGAAGAAAAAGAAAAATAAGAAAAACAAACAAATTAACACCAACAAAAAAAAGAAAGAAAGAAGAAATTAAGAAAAATTAGAAAGGAAACGAATACAGACATAATTATGAAAGCTTATTGTTTGCATTCATCGAAGTAAATCGCAATAACGAAAAGAGAGCCGAAATCAGCAGATAAGCAGAAATGAAATAGGGGGGGGGGATTCAACAAGTTTTTAAAAAAAGGAAAAGAAAGAAGAAGAAAAAAAACAGGAAAAAGTAAAAAGGAAATTCTCTTACAACCTACAAAGAACAAAACATAAATTATCTTAAATTATAGATAAGGGACACTGCTTCTTCAATTGTCATCTCGTCGATGTAAATTCAAAATATGGCGGTGGGCACTTGCCCCTCTCAACACCCACCCCCTGGATTCGCCATTGCCAGAGCGTCAACATCATCTTGAATTTCAATTGCGGGTATCTAAAAGAGACTTATTTAATGACACAAGAGCTTTTATGAAGAGTAGATTTAAAACGAAAAGGGGAAACTAAACTGCTGTGCAGAGAGAGAAGACGGAAGTAGAAAGATTGCTTGTCGTATTACATTCATTTTGAAATATAAAAAAAAATAAATGGGATGGGGCTTGAGCCCCCTCCCCCCCCCCCCCCCCCTCTACTCCCCGTCTAGAGTCGCTGTTTCCCCCAGCAAACACATTATTTACGAATTATTCACAAAATTAAAAATGGTTGACCAAATTTGGTGTTACAAACTAACTTAGAGAAACGTTCACTTTTAATGTAGGCCTAGATTAATTTTTGAAGGAGTTTGGTGATGTTGGCCTTTTCTAAGAGACGTATGAATAGAATCACGGAAACATTCTTGTTTTTATTTAAACTTACAAATTCATTTCATGATGTTTGTAAAGAGCTTTTTCCGCATTTATCACGATCTTTCAATTAACCTCTTCCACATAATTCTATTTGCAATTCACCCTAGCGTGAATGTCGGATGATCTTTGACGTCATAATGGCAGGGTCATCGGCAAACGACCTTGCACATGTTGCGGGTCATTTTTACTTCATGTATCATGTTAAGAATGATGCGCTGTTCCACATATTAAGTTTACACCCTGTGGTAATTCAATATGGAAAAGAGATCATCGTAGATAACCTGCACCTACATTTTCAGCCTTTCTTTGTTTATATATTTTATCAATAACAGAGTCAGAGAGATTTATATTTATATAATTTTCATTTTGGAGGGCCGGGTTTGACCCCCTGTTTCCCATTTTATTTTAATTTCCTCAGGATACTCGTTGAATGGGAGCCTATACATTAATTCCCCTGTTTTCAAGACCTATATCACATTAGCAGCGCCATCGCTCCCCCTGTTCACTTTGAAAGTGGACTGGTATGCCCATTATGCCCATACTATAAGTACACAACGCTATATAAAACTTGCCCCTTCAGTAACTTTGCAATTTTTCGGAATCCAACAACTTATTTCCGATGATCTTTGATTCGCCCCTGCATTGCCCCCCCCCCCCCCCCCCGCCCCCTCCACTACGCTCTTTGTTCTACAATTGGTTTGACTATTCTATTTCCTTTTTTGCTTGTCGGATAAATTATAATTTGTTGCCCCCCCCCCCTCTTTTTTTTCCAAATCCGAGATCCGATCCAGGGGCGGATCTAGCTTTTTGCTAAGGGGGGGGGGGGTTTGACCAAAATAATGACGATGCAGAGCATCGTCCACGAGCCGCGAAGCGGCGAGCCGATTTTTTTTTGGGGTGTTTATTTGAACCCCGTAAGTGATGTTTTCCTGGCATCTATTAACACAATGGAGACCACAAAAAGCAGTGCATGATAACGTCTTTTTAAATCAAGTAACAGTTTAATACACAGTTATATCCAGAGTTATCATGTGTTTGGTTAAGTTACCAGATGAGTTGAATATCTTCTCACAATATTTGCACTTGAAAGGGTTTCTCTCCAGCGTGCGTTCTTTTTTCTTTCTTTTTTTCTTTCTTTTTTCTTTTTTTTTCCTTTTTTTTTTTTTTTTTTTTTTTCTGGGCCGCCCAAGGGGGTTTAAACCCCCTAACCCCCCCCCCCGTAGATCCGGGCCTGCGATCCTGTTTCAAGCTCTTTAATCGTTGATGTTGAACTTTCACCAAGTTATTAACGACATTGCGGTTGCGATAAAATTTCACAATTGATATGCCTTACTCTTCAATTCTCCTGTCTTGGTTTTCTCAATGTTTTGTCTGCTCATGTTTGTTTTGCGTAGAATGCTTCCTTGTAATCTGATATAAAACATTAAATGGGGATATTTTTAATTATTAAAGTCATGATAGAGCATGAAATATAATATTCTTTTTAAAATCTTTCTTTTATTAGAAAATGAAATCTGCAGATCGGAAAGAACACGGGGGGGGGGTATACGAGCACACTGCCATAGCATGTCCTGTATTTCAAGGGGGAATTTCAATTGCATCATCAGGAGAAGAAAAAAATCATCGTGCTTTTTAAACGGGATAACTGCAGTGTAATGTAGCCTGAAGTGAATGGAAACATTCACATTCACAAAATGTAAGGAGATTTTTCATATGGTGCAATAAGCAACAAATGGACAAGAGATGGCGCTGATCCAGTTTTACTGTAATTACACGTTACCTACCATACGGTATTATCTCTATGTTATCTACTCAGTTTGTGCTTGAACTAGATCATTGCCAGAAGTATTGCGTGAGAAAATTTGTGAGGTAAGAAAATCAAGCGATAGTTTCACGATCAGCTTGTGCGCACCGAGGCTAGGCATAACAAACTTGAATCACATAATAAAATAGTTTACGGTGTCTTGAAAGATACCGAAAAAAGCTGCCAAAACCAAATTAAATCGAAACAAGTAGTATATTCATGTACATGTATACCCAATAAATGAAATTGTAAATGACATTGAGAATGAGAATAGCACCAGGGCATGGCAAGAGAGGCACAATGTCCAACGACCTTCTCAAACCTATTGTTCCATCACGTTCATTACGGTCAACTACACATGCTAATTTCCAATACGCCCCTGGTCCCCGAACAAATACCCGTTACGGAGATCGTACTTTGCCATTGCAGCCCCTAAATTATGGAACAGTTTACCTATTATTATTTGTCAATCCCCATCTGTAGAGTCTTTTAAGGCCAGTTTGAAGTATTTTTTGTTTACCGGTAATAGTAATTTATAGGGCAGTTTAATTATCTGTAATGTTATTATTAGAATTATGTATTATTATTGCTGTATGTTTATTTTATGTTGTACCTAATTACTTGTATGTTAAGCGCTTAGAAACATTGTATTAAGCGCTTTATAAATGTAATTTATTATTATTATTATTATTCCAACACACACACACACACACACCCACACACACATTTTCCATGTTATAGATTTTGTTTTCATTTATTTGATCAGTGGCGTTGTGAGCAAAAACTTTTTGGAGGGCAGAAAATCTGCATTATTAGGGCTTGATAGGCTTACTTATTGTACTTGTACATGCATATATCCACATTTGTTTATATTTGTTTTAATAATTATTTTATTAACGCTGTACAAGTTATGTTTTTATAGCAATATTCATTTTTTTCTTTATTATTTGTCTCTTCAGAAGTACAGCAATAACCACAATGATAAAAGGTATGATAAGATTACTGAATATAGAAGCTTGTGTAGGTGCTATCTTATATACATATTTATGTATGGTGTGTATGTGATATAACCAAAGAGATTCGATCATACACAGTATGTCCTCCGTAGGATATAACAAATAATCTGCACGTACTGTTAAGAAACACTAACAAAGCCCATGAATGTTTTGCTTACGATATTATTTTACGATACTATCTTAAAAGATAGATAAATATAAAACGAAATAAATATATTTTTTTAAAAATCCGAAATTGAGAGATATAACACGTGCCGTAAAGTAATTTGGCGACAATAGTCAAATCACTGACTAATCGCCAATAACTCAAAACACAACAACAACAACAACCCGATCCAGACGTCCGCGTTGATATTAGTCGAAATTTTCAGCAAAGGGGCTGGTCGTACACACGTTGATAAAAACCACAGGCTGAGCTGAGCATCAAAATAATATTTTTTTTTGGATATTTTTTGTTAAGTGTCTATTATACACGATGCCTACTGTTGGTGTTAAAGGGATCTACTCTTTGAGGTTTTAGGAAGAACTTATAGTGAGTATACAAGGGAGAAATAAATCACCATGTGTCGCCGATCGAGCGAAACTGCTTCTTAAAACCTTTAAAGCAGCCCCACATGCTTATGTTTATGTTGGTTCAAAAATGGCTTTGCATTATTTGCATTTCATTATATTGGTATTGCATCACTCATCCTGCTCATAGTAGCATTCATATACTTCATTTAAGAATTTTTAAGAATCCATGTATTAATTATCAAAACTCTCCAATGGCTTTTTCTTCCTTTGAATTTACAGCTGATGAAGAATTTGATGAGCTCTGCTTCGAATATGGCCTGGAATTAGATGAAGTGGTGAGAAATAGAGCTGTTTTTTTTCTCTGTCTTGTTTTCTTTGTTTTTCTTGTCCTCGTTGTTGTGTATATTTGTTTGTTGTTTGTTTTGTTTTTGTTTTTGTTTTTTTGTTTTTTTTTGTTGTTGTTGTTTTTTTTTTTTTGGGGGGGGGGGGGTTGATAATTGTGTTCCCCCAAAACAAAATTGTATTGAAGCCCAGGCACTAGCACACATAGGAGCATCACTATCCTGGCTGTGTAGTAAAAGCTGTGCTTTTGATTCTCAACATTTCAAACACCACTGTACAAAACTCAACTGATTTCACTCAAAATCGGTACTTTAGTGACAATTGGTGACACCTAAATAGCAGTAAAATACATTTTTTCAACTTACTGATGTTAAAAAGAATAATTTAAAAATTAAAATTGTAAGTCTAGTGTCAAACTTTGCTTACAGCTGCATCGACATGATTGTGTAGAGTCTATGCGATATTGTGTGGTGTGTATATTTGTGTTTGGACTTCTAGGTCCCTGCCTCACAGCATGTATGCAGTGCTAGAGGTCAATACGCATTAGCATTGACTCTCTATGCTTTGCTGGAGTGGGCACTAGCAGTAGCACACTGAAAGGTTAAAGAGGAAAATAAATTTGAGTGATTCTATTACTCTTTATGAGAACAAATAGACACTTCCCTCAAATAGAGTATTATTCAGAAACTGTAACTGTAGGAAGCATATAGACAGGGAGATGTTACTTGTTTTATCTCCTCCATCTTCTTCATCTTCTTCGACTTCTTTTTATTCTTTTTCTTTTTCTTTATCTTCTTCATCCAATTTTTCTCATTCATTCTTTTCTTCTTTTTCTTCCTCTTCTTCTCCTTCTTCTCCTTCTCCTTTTTTTTCTTCTTCTTCCCCTTCTTCTTCCCTATCTTTTTCCCTTTCTTCTTCTTCTTCTTCTTTTTCTTCTTCTTCTTCTTCTTTTTCTTCTTCTTCTTTTTCTTCTTCTTCTTCTTCTTCTTCTTCTTCTTCTTCTTCTTCTTCTTCTTCTCCTTCTACTTCTTCTTCTTCATCATCTTCATCTTCCTGTTCTTCTTGTTCCCTCCCCCTTCTTCTTCCTCTTCTTCTTTTTCATCTCTTTCTTCATTATTATTCTTCTTTCAGACCTCAGAGAAGACAATGATAGAGAAGGAGCAAGGTACAGATAAGGCAGAAGGAGCTTCCGATGTTGTCATCTACAAGATTGATGTACCTGCAAACAGGTCAGAAATGGCCCTTGATGGCCCTCCACCCTCCTCTTCCCCGATCTCTGTCATATTATAATAATAATATGTCTCGTTCACCCAGGGTAGCCTCATCAGTATTCATACTGTTCTCCCTGAGGGCCCTGCAATCATTTCATTACCCCGGCTTTAACCGAGCTACCATTAAAAGGTGCTCAAGCTTTCAAGGAATTTCTTTCTACCAAGTACCCATTTACCTCACCTGGGTAGAGTATGGCAAATGTAGATTAATGTCTTGCCAAAGGACATAAGTGCCGCAGCGGGACTCGAACCGTGGACCGTGCGATCCACAGTGACGTATCCACTGTACCATCTCTTAAAACAATCAATCAGCATAAAGGTATGTATTCCAAACATGTTTAATACTAAGCCTGAGATTACCAGGCTGAGTTTTAAAAAATTAAAAAGAGTAATGTTTATATTAAAATATAATTGTTATCCAGGGGTAAGTTCAGATTCATTGGTAGGGCAAGACATTCCATCTTGTTCTCTTGTTAGATGCTCTAAAACTGTGAATATTGCCTCATCTTTTGCATTTGCTACTCATTGAGTATAGACTAAATATTTTTATGAACTATATATGTATCAGTTTAATACACGTAGGTCTTTTTTTATATTTATTATTACCAGGGTTTGTCTTTTTTCTGTTAGGTTGAAATGATAAAAATCATACCTTCATAAGAATAATAGAAGATGTGTGATAAAATGTTATTTTTATTAGTGGTCTTTATTACTTTCTTGAATAGGACAAGTTACCAATGTATTTATATTTCACTCTAGATATGACCTCCTATGTCTCGAGGGCCTTTCCAGAGGATTGCTGGTTTTTCTCCAGAAAATGGAAGCTCCACGGTACAAGGCTGTACCCCCTAAAAAGGGAGCCCTTCAACAAATGTTCATTAAACCAGCAGTAAGTCGATAGATAATCATACCATGGCTAATAACAGTAAATTTGATTTTTGTGTTAAATGTACAGTATGACGTTGATATTTTCTGATCCGATCAAATGACTAATGATGATGATGATTTTGATTCCGTAGGCAAGAATTTTTATAACTGTTAAAGGGATAGTTGAGTTCTGTTTTCAGATCACAAATGCCTTCAAAGTGCATGGTTATTGCTCTTATTCTTATCTATGACATTTCTAGTGCCCTTTGCTGGTTGTGCGTAATATAACCAACACGAAAAAACCAACAAAAAAGCCAACATCGGCATTGGCTGAAATACAACGTAAAAGCGCTATTTTGTTTTTCCAACGGCTTTCAACGGCTGGTTCAAATTATCTAATATTTGTGGTGGTACAGAAGTATTAGAAATTGTTATATTTATGGATATTTCAGCCGTCTCTGAACTGATTTTGTTCAAACAAAGATGATTCTGTCATTTAAACTGTATGTTCTTTCAAATTTGACACTCAGTTTTTTCATTATCTCACCAAAAAATTATTTTGTGTAGTGCCCTCTGCAACAAAACTCAACTATCCCTTTAATTTAGTTCTTTTTATATCTTTATCTTATTGTGTTATCATTTTGTTTTGTCTCTCACTGTCTCACTCCGAATGTCTCTCTCTCTCACTCTCTCTCTCTCCACCCCTTTTTTTCTGCCCCTCTCTCATCCTACCTCTCTCTGTATCCCACTCTTTCTCTTTATCTTATATCTACCTCCCCCCCCTCTCTCTCTCTCTCTCTCTTTCTCTCCACTCTCCACTCTCTCTTTCTCCTTGTTGCGCCTATTTTCTCTATTTCTCTTAATCTCTCTTTTAATCCCCCATACAGACAGCTCAAGTGAGGCCCTATGCTGTAGCAGCCATCATGAGGAACATCACCTTTACCAAGCATACCTATGATAGTTTCATTGATCTTCAAGATAAGCTTCATCAAAATTTAGGAAGGTGCGTCAATTAACTCATTTAGAAGTTAGAACAGGAATTTTACAAGGGCTAAATCGATCAGCTATCCCTCACATTGGCAACAATGGTATTTTTCTCTTGATTAATATTTTTTAATGTTTTTGATCTTTTCCACATATTGCCAATTGAAGGATTATAATACTGCTTAATTTCCATTTAGAAATTTCCTCAAATGCCATTACCGTTATTTGTTTGTCCTTGCAGGAAGAGAAGCTTGGTTTCCATGGGAACACATGACCTGGATACCATCAAGGGGCCGTTCTACTTTGACGCTCAACCCCCCGACCAAATCAAGTTTGCCCCCCTCAATCAGGTCAGTCTATCTAGGGTATTGAAAGATTGAAGTATGGCCAGGCATTCATTTGTCCATCTGTCCAGTAGACACTGTTGAGTTTGGATATTTTCACAGGATTTGGTGATGAGGAAAGGCTTCCAAGTAAGGAATGTCCAATACATTTAAGGAGCCTAGCTTTTTGGGGGGTCTCAACAGGCAGATAAATGGATGAATAGCTATCGTAAATTCAGTTCAGACTCCACGGGGGCCATTGGCAACGTTTCTCATAATTAAATAAATGATTGTATTTACAATGATTTGGAACTGAAATTACCAGACAAGTGAGATAACAGTTGGCTTCTGTCTACTGTACACTATAAAAAGAAAATAAATTGAAATAGGTTATAAGAGCTACTAAATCATTGTTTAAGATTACAGGTATCAAATGCCTTTTCTTTCAAAGCAAATCCATGCCTAGACTGTACTAACATCCCACCAAAATGGTTGCTGATAATCAAGCTCACTGATATTTAACATTATAATAAATTAGTATGGTTTCAAGTTTTACACAATTGCAAATCAGAACTTAAAGATAATACAAAGTTGTGGTATGGGGTCATGAATTTGGTTCAAATGAACATATTGGAAGCATATGCGATTTTACAATATTCAATGAACGTTGTCACAGTTGAGTCTAAAGCGATGAAATTGTCAATAATAAACTCTTTATGTTGTATAGCTCCCTCTCAAGATTGATATTAATTTAGCTTTAAAACCATGTTTCTTAATTACAATCGACCAATTTGCTATTCCTGTTTGGAAATTATATATCAGAACTGCATATTCTGAGATTTTTATGGTTCCAGCTACATGTATCATGGGATGGCCTTAGGCGCTATTTGAAATATTTGAAATTTACTGGGAGCACCGATAAACTTTTGATTATTCAATTTCTTGAAAGCAGAAGTGTTTTAGGGGCTAAATTTTCTAGTGCTAATAATACATCCATAGGGGCATCCAAATACTATCCATCCAATTTTCAAAATTTCCCAAACTTTGCATCACCTTTAACTATCATTGAATACATTTTGAAAAGCTTTCATTTTAAATCCACTTTGACCTTCTTTCAATCAGACCAAGGAATACACAGCTGTGGAGCTGATGGAGATGTACTCCACAGACAGTCACATACGTCACTACCTTCCCATCATCAGAGACAAGCCGGTCTATCCGGTCATCAGAGATAGCAACGGTGTCGTCCTCTCCATGCCTCCCATCATCAACGGTAAATACAAACGCTTCTGGGGGGTGTTTCACAAAGATCCTAAGTTGAACTTATCTCTAAGTTGGACTTAACAACTATGGAAAGTTAGCATCTTTGAAAATATTTTGTAAAAGTTATTTAAAAAGGCATAAAATGTTGATTCATATTTTCTATTATCAAAGAGATTTTATGTTCTTGATGTGGAATTTATGAAAAGTCTAAAATATTTTTTTTCTCAACCACAAATGTGTTTCCCTTTGATTCCCAGTTAAATTGTAATACAATGAGTATTTAATACTATTTTACAGGATACGGTTCCAGGAAGTTACATTTCTGTGTACTTTATTAGAAATATATCAGTTATTTTAAAGATGTGCGTGACATCTGCCTCTCTCTCTCTCTCAAACTCTCTCTTTCTAGCACTCTCTCCCTTTCTATTTCTTTCTCTGTCTGTCTCTTTGAGAGCTGTTCACATATAACAACAGCCTGAGAAAGGATTTAATGTCTGGTCCCATCCATTTGTTTTAATGTTATTGCATGTAAAATGTACATTCATCATTTTGTAAAAACTTGTCTCCTTACCCTAGGTGACCGTTCCAAGATCACGCTGAACACCAAGAATGTTTTCATTGAGATCACTGGCACTGACCATAATAAGGTCAAGATTACTCTTGATACCCTGGTCGCAATGTTCAGCCAGTACTGCACGGAACCATTTGTGTAAGTTCACTAGGAGTGGTGATGGTGGTGGTGATGATGGTGGTGGTGGTGGTGGTCGTGGTCATGGTGATGATAATGGTGGTGGGGGTGGTGGTGGTGGTAGTGGTGGTGGTGGTGGTGGTGGTGATAATGATTGTGATGATGGCGATGCTGACGTTGAAGATGAAAGTTAAGATTATGAGGATCGTGGTGATGATGTTGAAAATGAAAGTGATGGTGGTGGTGATGATGGTTTTGATGAAGATTGTGATGATGATGATAATGATTATTCTACTATAACTATTTAATTTTGAGATCACTGGCACTGTCCATAACGAGGTCAAGGTCAGTCTTGATATCTCGGTCGCTATGTTCAGCCAATACTGCACGGAACCATTTGTGTAAGTTTACTAGGAGTGATGATGGTGGTGGTGGTGGTGGTGATGATGGAGGTGGTGGTTGTGATGATATAGGTGGTGGTGGTGATAATGATTCTGATGATGGCGATGCCGACGTTGAAGATGAAAGTGAAGATTATGAGGATTACGATGATGTTGTTGCAGCTGAAAGTGATGGTGGTGGTGATGATGGTGTTGATGAAGATTGTGATGATGATGGCGATAATGATTATTCTTCTATAACCTTTTAATTTTGAGATCACTGGCACTGACCATGATAAGATCAAGGTCACTCTCGATATCCTGGTCGCTATGTTCAGCCAGTATTGCAGTGAACCATTCAAGTAAGCTTACTGGCAAATAGATGATGTTGTTGGTGTTGTAGATGATTGAGATGAAGTTGTTGGTGTTGATGATTAAGATGACCACAACAATGAAGAAGATGCTGATAGAAATGTCGAAAGATGACGTTTCTACTGATGATAATGATGGGGATTTATAATTTATGATAATAATTAACGATGATGAAGATGACATCAACAGTGATGCTCATCAATTTATAAATTGTCATGGCTCACCATTTTATTGTTAAAGTCTGTAAATTTCTGTAAAGTCACATGGATTGGAAAAGAAGACCTTCGGGTCATAGTTATTAAGTTAATCTTTTTCTTTCCCCGGCATCCAAGTGACTCTTTTCAAAATGTACTCCTGTTTTGTATTCAATAATTTTCGTTGTTTCTGCCGAATAAATAATAATAATAATAATTATGATAATGCTCACTGCGGATCTTGGCTCTAGAAGTGATCTGAGTCACATGGGAAACTCCCCAAAGCGCAGTGACTCTGACAAACGAGAATAAAATTCCATGAATCAAATTTTGTAATAACAATTTACCTGGAATATTTAGAGGGAAGTTTCAACAGTAAATATGGGGAAACTTGAAGTCTCGCCTGCAAAACTTTTGGAATCTAAACTGCAGGAATCAAATTTCCTGAAATATTTTGCCAATTTGAGTGCACCTATTACCTGCAGCTGAATAGAATAATTCAAGGGGTCAGTGACACAAAGACGTAACTCCATTTTGGCCATTTGTGGTTTATGTGTCACTGAGCACTTGGGCCTTAAGGCATTAAGTCTATGTTTCACTAGGCATTGACTTCAATGGGGTGTTGGGTGGAGTTAAGTCTTTGTGTTTCCTGGAAAGCCCACATTTTTCTGAACATTATGATATCAAATACTCATTTTGGCAAAATATGGAGTTACGTCTTTGTGTCACTGAACCCTCAAATTATTTCTCTTTGTTTAGTATGGAGGCTGTCGAGGTGATCAAGCCTGATGGTAGTAAGGACCTGTTTCCAGAGCTGAAGTATAGGACGGAGAATGTTCCTGTGGAACTCATCAACAAGAGAGTGGGAATCAGGTATGTCTATTCCTATCACAAAGAAATATTTTTCTGTGTGGTGTTTTTTTTCAAAACCATACAAACTTGTAAGTTATCATATACCAATAGCCTACAGGTATCGGTAGTCTTTTTGTTTATAACAAGAAGTTAGATCAAGTTTTATAGAGCAGCTACTGTATATATATACTCTACTGCACTTTAGCATTATATGGTAATTCAGTAGTCAACAGGATAAAAGTATTGAAGTAGTAACGCTATGTTGATTTATGAAAACATTGTCTCCATGGTTTTCATGTAAGTCAACGATAAAGATAAAAAGGGATATAAAGTTTTTGGCAGTATTGCATGACTTAAAAGAAATAAAATGCTGGATGAAAGAAGGAGCAGACACTCTTTCCTATTGGAAAAACAAGTTTAAAGTGCCAATTGGTGGAAGTAGCAGCTTGAATGGCAAGGAGTATGTGTACTGTACACTGACATTGCAGTGTATATTGAAGATGTAGATGTTAAAGAGCACAGGGGCAAGTACTGAGCCTTGTGGGACACCATTTTAGATTATTGTTTTTCTTTTCTTTTCTTTTCTAATGTTTTCATGAAGGCCCATTTAAATGAAGAAAGGATGACAATCAAGCTTTTGAGTTATATAACTTTTTCCTAAATTCTATGAAGCCTAAAAACTGTTGGTATACATTTCAAAATTCTTTTTGGTACAAACATCTACCTTTCTACCTTTAAAATTTTTTTTTTATTGATAATATTCTTATTTTGTTTGATAGTGAGTCAGCTGACAGGATAGCTAATCTTCTGACCAAGATGTGTCTTACCAGTAAAGTCACTGATGGAGGCAAGATGCTGTCAGTCGAAATCCCTCCTACAAGATCTGATATCCTTTGCATTTATCCATGCCCTTTGTCATTGTTTTGTTGTACTTTAATAATAATATTAAAACCATGCTTATCAGTTATGAAGTGCTTTGCACCGAAGTCTCTAAGTATATGTTAAGAATATTGTCGGATTGAAATTACATAAAAAATGTCAAATACACATTTGTGTGGAATGCTCTGTCTTTGATCCTGTTTAACGATAGGGACAACTTTAAAAATCTGTTTTGCTTGAAATCTGATAACAAAATTCAGAAATGAACCTCTGAATATTTTTAGAGTGTTAGGACATGAAATTTCACAGCCCATGTATACAAATTTTACAAAATCATCATTATTTTATTTTTTCGTCATTGTAAGTTATATATGACTGTTCATATGGATTTTGTCTGTATTTTTCAGGTGACTGAAGCCTGTCTGCACTAGTTTGGCCAGGGGGTATTAGACCTCCCTGCAAGATCACTGACAGGTGGTTATCTCATCAAATCAGCTCTCAATTAACATAAGAAAAAGGGGATCATGGGGGATCAACAGGCATCGATTAGGCATTGTTTGCTATATAGAGGGCGCAAGTAGTTATAAGTAGTGCAGTGCCAATGAGTGGGGCGTTTAGATGTGAATAGACTTATTATATAATTTTTAGGATTTCAAGATTGTTTGTATATCATGTACCTGCAAGCTTAGCATTCAATGTGACTCTTGATGATTCCTTGACCTATAAATGACCTTGCACATGTCATTCATGCCTGTGACATCATCGAGGACGTAGCTATCGCCCATGGTTACAACAACATCACCAAGACGATACCCCAAACCAACACCATCGCGGAACAGTTCCCCATCAACAAGCTAACGGATCTCTTGAGGCTGGACATCTCTGCGGCCGGATTCACGGAAGTCTTGACCTTTGCATTGGTGAGTTTGACCACTGATGCCACAAAGGGAGGCAATTGTGTAGATATGTAGTATTTTGTATTCTAATGTAAACAAATGTGAAGAAGAAAAACAAAAGCCCAAGATCAAGAATAACCTGCAGAACATGATAGATAGTGACAAATTAAAGAGAGTATAATACATGTGTTTTTATATATTTATATATATTTTTATTTATATAAAAGATTATGTATAGAATGAGAAGAAGAATGCGAAAAGCAATTCCATCAAGCACCTTATTCTCCGTTATCTCTTGATCCAAGGGGAGTGGTAACTTAGAAAAGCTTGTTAAGTCCTCTGAACACTGTATTTTTTAGTGGGAAATAAAAAGAAATATTTCTTTAAATAATTTAATCCTCCCCCCCCCCAACAAAAATAAAGAAAATATATATATAATTAAATTAAATTGAATTAAAAAATGAAAATAATAATAATAATACTTATAATAATTTAAAAAGTATATAAAAAATATAATAATAATAATAATGATATTAATAATGATACTAATAATAAAAGAAGTGAAAAAAGAGAAAAGGGGAATTGTTTTATGTAGTTTCCTCTTTACTATTTCTGTTATTGCTATTAATATTAGTATTACAATTATTACTAGTGCTATTGAAGTGACATTCATGTAACACTGTTATTAACAGATTGTACAAATTTGTCCATTTTGTTGCAGTGCTCAAGGGACGATATTTCAGACAAACTTCAGGTTGATATCGCCACGACCAAGGCTGTTCACATCTCAAATCCGAAGACAGCAGAGTTTCAGGTAGGTGGGGCAAAAGCCTGCCTCCTAGTCTACTAATGATGATGATGATAATGCTGGTGATGATGGTGGTGATGGTGGTGGTGATGTTGGTGGTGGAGGTGGTGGTGGTGGTGGTGGAGTTGATGATGATGATGGTGATGATGATGAAGATGAGGATGATGATGATGATGATGAGGATGGTGCAGGAGTTAATAACAGGCCTGATAAAAACCCGATTTAAATCGGTTTCCCGATTTTTTTTATTTTTCCCGATTTTTTTTTTCTTCCCGATTTAAAAAAAAAAAAATCATTTTTTTTTTTTTTTTTTCCTTCCCTATTTTATCCTGATTTTCCCGATTTCCCTCTTATTATCTCTATTCTTCCCTATTTTTCCCCCAATTTTCCCCCCAATTTTCCCAAGTTTGTCTCAATTTTCCCAAGTTTGTCTCAATTTTCTTACTCGAAAGGGGTGAATGTTGTTAGATGCCATTTTTTCCCCGCGAATCGTCTTTTTTTTTTTTTACTCAAGGGGGGCGTGGTTGAGGGGAAAACAAAAAAACCTATTTTTTTTTTTGCTCACTATCACCCCTGTAATAATGATGATGGTGGTGGTGGTTGAGGTGGTCGTGGTGGTGATGATGATGATGATGATGAAGATGGTGGTGATGATGATGATGATGATGGTGACAATGGTGATGATGATGATGAGCACAATGAGGATAATGATGATAACAATGAGTATGCTGAGGATGATGGTGATAATACCAACGAAAATGATGATGAAGTTAAAGATGTCTCTTTAAAATAAATAAACAATTTCCAACAGCAATTATAATGCTTCCTTATCATCGCTTCAATCCTATTCCGTTTCACGCAGGTTGCAAGAACAGCCCTCCTCCCTGGTGTCTTGAAGACCATCTCCTGCAACCGTAAGATGCCTCTCCCCATCAAGGCCTTTGAGATCTCTGACGTCGTTCTTCAGAACCCTGAGAAAGACGTCGGAGCAGAGAACAGGAGACACTTCTGTGCAGTTCACTATAACAAGTCACCTGGGTTTGAGGTCAGTTTTAGGTGGTGATTAGGATCTCTAAATCATTTCTATTTGTTTGTATTTGTTATTTTAATTTGAGCAACTAATACATAAATGGAGATGAATACATGGATATGAGGGGAAAAAGAAGCTGTTTTGGAAGAAAAACAGGAAATGCTTGTGTAGTTGGAACTCACGGATTGATACAGATAAATTAAAGAAGACAGTAGATCCAACGTGAATTGGAGACAGAAAAGAACTGTGATGAAGGAGGTTCATAGACCAAAAGGCAATTCACCATTAAGGACATTGCTAGTGCGATTTATAATTGCCTGATCTTATACAATGCTTAAAAAAAAAATTACCTCTTTGTCATGCAATCAACATCTTTCTTTTTTGTGTTTACTTGTCTGCTAGGTTATTCATGGATTGTTGGATCGGACAATGCAGCTCTTACAAGTTCCCTTCTCAAAAGAAGATGGCTACCACCTAAAGTCTGCTGAGAGTAAGTTTCAATGTACTGCTTTATATTAACTTGCAGTAGTCCATGTATCTCATAATTTTTGCAAGAAATTTATCTCTTCATTTCATTGTGTATGTCTTCAAAATTAGTCTGATGCATGAATCAAAACATTAGGTCTAGATAATCCCCCTATCAAGGGTGTTTTTTTCAATAATAATGGTTTTATTAAAAAACAATGCCTCGCAGCCAAAATGCTGAATTGTGCATGTTTACATGTATACATGAGCTTCATTACATAACATTATATGTCATTTGTTACAATCATTCATTCAAACAGTATTGGTAACATTTAACAGTATTCATGTGTAGCATTTAAAACCAATCACTATATATTATTTACATTTTTAAAATCTATTAAACTTCACAATAGTAATAACAACAATTGATCAAAAGCAATACAATACATAACATACAAATAAGTAAAAAGCTAATACTGAAATTATTGCACCTGTGTCTTTAACAATTCATATTCATTGAAAATTAAAAGTCAGCAAAATGTTGCTCTATGTTGCCTGTTCATCAACGGTAAGTACATAATTATAAATTAAAGGGTTACTTTGTGTTTGTTGAAGTTTGACAAATGTCAGTTTGATTAAAAGAATTCCAGACAATCATTGCTGTCTTCATCTCAGCCATTTATTCCCAAGTACTGTTTGTTGATTCATGTAGTCTGGAGCTACTGTGAGTTGACTTGTATTAGCATTAAAATCCAATCAAATTGAAATCCAATGGAAATCAGGAGCCTCAGAAGCAGGAGCCCCCTGAACACAGGGGCAAGTACTGAGCCTTGTGGGACACCATTTTAGTTTTTGTTTAAGGTTTCCCACAAAGGGCCTAGGTGGCCCCTTGGACCCCAAGCCAGTGATGTCTATTTTTGAGCCTCTGTGAATATCATGCCTGTTATATATATATATGTACATTGAGCTTCTATTATCTATTTCTCTCTCTCTCTCTCTCTCACTCTCTCTTTCTCTGTGTCAGACCCAACCTATTTCTCAGGTCGCTGTGCGGAGGTCATCGTCAGAGGCAAGTCCATTGGCTATCTAGGTGTCATACATCCCAACGTCGTCAGCAAGTTTGAGCTTCCCAACCCCTGTGCGGCGCTTGAGATCTCTATTGAACCATTCCTATGATGATTATGATGATATCCATTCTCCATACTTGAAGTTCAAATTATTTCATTCTCCTGTGACAAATAATTGTTGCTAGGTAGGACAAACATTATGTCTGGTCTTACCTAACAAGTAACAGCACATATATGTGCAATTTGCATTTTGACTATTGAAATTCGTTACAGGTGAATTAAATAATTTGTATCGAGTTTTTGTGCATTAAATTTGATTACATTTTTAAAAATGGTCTAATGAGCCCTTTCTCTGGCCGGAAGTCTTATAATGCTATTAATATCTCTTAGTAAAACATGTTAGGACCTCAATAAGGTAGAAGTTATATTGCTAAACTCAACGGATAGCTGTAGATACAGTCATACAATTTTTTTTTTTTTTTTCATCTTGCACTCATCAGAGTAAATCACAAGAATTAACAGAAAGCTGAAATCAGAAAGAAAAAAGAAAAAGCTCTGATACCTAAAATATCATATCTAATGTTATTGAAATCTTCTTCGAAATCTTGTCATCATAGTCTTGTCTTAAAGGTAATGCAAAGTTTTGGGAAATTTTGAAAATTGAATTTGAGTAATTCTTTATAATTTTGGTATATTTGGATGCCCCTGTGGATTTATTATAGGCACCAGAAAATTTAGCTCCTAAAACACTTCTGCTTTCGAGAAATTGAATAATCAAAATTTACCGATGCTCCCGGTAAATATCAAATATTTCAAATAGCGCCTAAGGCCACTCCTTGGTAGCTGCAACCATGAAAATCTCAGAATATGCAGTTCTGATATATAATTTCCAAACGGAAATAGCAAATTGGTCGATTGTAGTCAAGAAACATTGTTTTAGAGCTAAAGTAATATTAGTCTTGAGAGGGTGCTATACAATATAAAGAGTTTATTATTTACAATGTCATTACTTAAGACTCAATTTCAACCGTGACGGCGATCATTGAATATTGTAGGATCGCTTATGCTTCCAAATTCATGACCCCATACCAAAACTCTGTATTACCTTTAAATTTGTATTGAATGCCAATTATGTCTCAAATCAATATTTGTTATACAAATGATATTGAGCACCTGCCATAATAGATTGTGTTTCTCTTTTGAAAGCTTTTTAAAACATCACAAGATTTTACATGGTATGGATGATGATAAAAATACCCTAACAATAATATGTTTAAAAATGAGAATAAAAGGTTATTGAGTTGTTTTTAAAATGAAATCTAGTATTAACAATTGTTTAATGGATATGTTATGGATGACCCTTCCATAATTCAGTATGAATCTATCTGTAAATAAATATTCTGAGAACAGTAAGCTTTCGATTATTGTATTCAGAGGGGAGTTCTGACATTGTATTTTCTTTTCTGTACTTCTGTAGTTATTCAGCTTTAATGGAAAACCCAAATACATGTGGTTAGTAAATTATCTTTAAGATTATATGGGTTTCAAAAATATTTTCATCTCATAAAATGAATATAACGCTGAGGGCATTTTTTCTCTTACGATATTTTCCTCCAAGCAATTTGTCATACCAAAATACAGTTCAACATGTTTACCTTACCTTCATAACCTTGCTATTCATGGAGCATATTCCTTATCCATTTTTACCAAAATATTCAAAATCGCATTTTCTGGGAGGCCTCGATTCTGGTTTTGCAAGTGGAACAAAATAGTCAGAACAAGAATTTACCAAGTGAGTTTTCATCAGTATTTTAAAGCCTGTCTGTACTTTTTTGGCCAGGAGGGATTACACCACCCAGCAAGGTCACTGACAGGTGGTCATCTCATCAACTCAGCTCTCAATTAACATAAGAACAAGGGCATCATGTGGGATCAATAGGCATTGTTGGCTGTATAAAGGCCCCCAATAGCTATAAGTAGTCAGTGAGGCTTTAAGAGAAAATGCAATTTTACCTGAAAGAATACCATTTAAAAAGTTGTTTCCTTTTGTGAATGTCTTTTATGCAAATGCCAATTATTGTAGTAAGACACAAGTTATTTGAAAATACAGTCAAACCTGCTTTAGTGACCACCTGTCTACAAAGACCATATTTTTTGTTTCCCTTGAAAATGGTTTCTCATTGAAACATGTACTAAAGGAACCTGTCTACAAAGATCACTTTTTGTGTTTCCCTTGGGCAGTCGCTATAGACAGGTTTGACTGTACATGTAAGTGATAATGAAAATACTAGACCTATGGATTTAAAATCTTACCCCTCCGTGATTTTCTTTCCCCGTCGGTTCTTCTTGTCGGTTCTTATTTATTATGATCCTTATTTTTCGTTGGGCATGTAGTACATGTATTTCAATAATACAAATATAATTTACACATTAATCTCTGCAGTCCTATCGGGTACTATTTATTAGATTTATTAACATTTATTAGTTAAAATGAAAGTAATTACTTGTATATAGATTTATCTTCTACTGCTTGGAAAATTCATTGTAAAGCTTCAAGGAAAGTTATTATGTTTAAACACGATTGCCCCTTTTGTGGCTCTCGTTATCTAAGTGCATTTATGGTATGCACAAGTAGAAAATGCCAATCTTTCCTACCATATCCTATTCATTAGAAAAATATTCACTCAGATTTGTATTCTTCATTAACCATCTTTAATCTTTTGGGCAGTTTTATGTAATAGCCACAGTAATATTTAATACACTGTATTACCACTTTGCAAAAGATACATTCTTTTTCTGAATCTTGTTTATAATTATGTTGTCAGCCTTATTGAATAATTATTAAATGATATACAAGTACACATGTAAATTATTTACCATTATGGGATGTTTCGTTTGTTTGTTCGTTGTTATTTCCGAAATCCATATAAACAAACCAGTTTAAAACAAAAAAATGTGTATAAAGCATTATTTCAAATGATGAAGTAAGTAAATGTGTAAAGTTTAGACAAACGGTTGGATGGCCCATGTCAGGACCATTTTCATAATGGTCCTGTTTTTCCATGGGGTCCAAAAGCAAAATATCATATTAATTGACGTACAATATCGACTTTCAATCAGTAATTTACCAATGCACTACCCCCCCCCTTCCTTATCGATCCCCTTCACCTGACCTGCCCCTCTCGCCACCCTCTCGATCCCGCAAACCCCTCCTGCTATCCCCCTTTTAAGTCATCCAGTATATTACAAAGAACAATAAACAGTTTTATTACAACCATAAATCGGTATTAATATTATTTAAAAACATATTTTTCTGTCGTAACATTTCAAACTAAACTTGTTATTTCTTTCTTAAATGAGGCCAAATTTCAAGGTTTCTTTTGTGTTTAGTTTTATTTTATTGTCCACATAATGTAACGTAATCAAATAAAAATGCATTATATACAAATTCAATAACTTAATATTAAACAAAAGATACGACAAATAATTATACAATTATTCAAATAAATCATTTAAGATGGGCACAGTGTTGAAAACACAGTAGAGGAGTCTATTAAAAAAAAAGCATGGCTTGTATTTTATAGACCCCTCGAGAATAAAAAAAAGTCACAAGTTCTCTGTAACAATAATTAAACAATATATGTATAAAATTGCAACTACCTATGTGCATAGAATTTCTGTATTAATTAAGGCCAAGTTTCTTGATTGTCGAGAATGCATAGATAAGGCCATTATACATTTTACTTCTATAAATAGCAACCACTTTGACAAATGATACTGACAATTACTACTCTTCCATGGTATTAAGAATGTCAATAGAAACTTATTAGTAGCTGATTAAGCCAGTTCGGAGATAATATCTGCCACCTGGGGGGGGGGGGGGGGGGGTACTCAGATTTGATTTGGACGGGGATGTGCCGCCCAATCCTCGAAACCCTACCCATTTTTTAGGGTCATTTTGGGGGGATTTTTTTACAATCGATTTTTTTTTGTAGCCCTATTTTTAGGGCTTTGTTTTGTTGAAAATGGGAGGAAACAGGAAACACAAAGTCTTAACTCACCCAACATCCCATTGAAGTCAATGGCTAGTGGAACATAGACTTAACTCCTTAGGGCCAAAGTGGACCTCTATCTTTAAACCACGTTTTCTCAAAATGGCCGAAATGGAGTTACGTCTTGATCTAACCCCTCGATAAGCTTCTCAAGAGGGTGAACAAAACGCATCGATATCGATATCGATATGTTCTATATAGATATGCATCGATATGTTCCATCCAGGGGCGTACGCAGGGGGGGGGGGGGGTGTTTTGGGGGTTCAAACCCCCCCCCTTTAGTATTTTTATGTATGTAAACCCCCCCTAAAAAAACCTAAAACCCCCCCCCTTTGGTTTTTTTTTTTTTTTATTATTAAAAAAAAAAAAAAAAATTACCCACGGCTAACCTAAATAAGGTGACCTTACCCCCCCCCCCCCCCCAACGAAAAAAATGTCAAATTTTGAAATTTCGAGACCCCTAAAAAAAAAAAAAGTGTCCGCTTACCCCCCCCCCCCCCCCCCCCCCCCCCCCCCCCCCCCCCCCCCCCCCCCCCCCCCCCCCCCCCCCCTGAGAGACTTTTCGGCCGGCGCGATTTTCAAATTTTCGGGAGCAAAATATTTTAAACCCCCCCCCCCCTTGAAAAAATCCTGCGTACGCCCCTGGTTCCATCTATACCAATAAGTTATCTTAGGGACGTTGCGCTTCAAATATTTTTGTTTATGCATTGTTCCTACTATGTGTTATAACTCAATGTAACCCACTGTATTTTATTTATTTATTTTTTATTTTATTTATTTTATCTATTTATTCATCTGTAAACAGTTATTTTACATGGTGAATAAATAAAACAAACAAACAAACATATATCGATGAAGCACCTCCATCTCTTTTGGAAGTGATCATTCTGAAGGAGTATACCGAAGTGCTAAAGTCGTCTTTGTTCGTCGTCTCGGTTACTGGTTCCAAATAACGGAACCTGCGGATGAAGTTCACCGCGAAACCATTCAAGCACTGGCGTGATCACCCCACAATGTGGATTGCTACGGTCAACGTCCTTTTAATGCACTGCCTTGAATCATGGAGTTAGTAACTCCATGCTTGAATGGACGTCACACGTATCAGTCCACGCGAATCTAAAAGTCCCTATTGTTAAGCACAATAATGGGACCAGCAACCTTGACGATTTGGCCAATAGGACGTCACGGTTCGGTATTACTTAATGCACATAGGATTCCTCAAAGATTGCTGATTTCACACAATTTTATCCTAAACAATGGCGAGGTAATCACACCAGCCCCCCAAAATGAATTTGCCCCGGCCTGTTTCATCCCGTTGCTTGAATGGTTTTGGCGGCGAACCTCATGCGCAGGCTCTGTTGTTTGGAACCAGTAACATGGTCGACGAGCGAATGGTTTTATGACGCTAGCACTTCTATCAAGTATCAAGCTTATTTGTCTTCCAGAAATCACATGTAACAGAATATAAAGTATAATCATAACAGGACAATGTAGAATAACCAAAGACGAGGAGGCCTTGATTGAAGCACAGCTTGTTAAATTAAGACCCCCCCCCCCCCCCCACTCCGGGGTCGGAATGACCGCATGCGTGTTACCAAAATGTCCGGTAAAGGGGTACTTTTCGTGCGACAAAGTCCGGCCCGAGAATTGTATTAAAAAAGGGGTGTATTTGACTTTTCACCCGGAGATTTCTTTAAAAAGGGGGTGTTTTTCTTTTTTTTTTCTTTCATCTCTTTGGACTCCTGAGAAATTATTCCGAATTTAGAGGGGTACATTGAGCATTTTTCCGTTTTTAGGGGGGTCTCCAAGGCAGGAAAAGCCCGCGAAAAGCCCGCGATAGGGTGGTTCGGAAATGTTGGCAGTCCTCAGATAGGGGGTGCTTTCAAAAAGAGGGAACGAGCATACGCATACCCTAAATAACACTGGGGGGGGGGGCGGGGTTAAGACCTCCTCATTGACATTCTTGCAAGGTAAGAATGTCATTAGCAACTGAATACTGGCGATTTCTAAAGTTTACGAATCCCCGGGTCGATTCTCTGAGTTGTTCGCATCTATTCTTTCTCCCAGGAAGTACCGTGATGGTATTAAAACGAGGCATGTAAATACTTCTATACCGCCCAAAACCACGAAGGCAGTACTGAAACCCGCCACACTGGAGAGCCAACCTAGAAAGACAAAAAAAAAAGCATATTTATTTGTTAAGGACTTGGAGAACAGACTGTCTGTAAAACATAACATATTCAATCGGATAGAGCATACACTTACAAAAGCAGTCGTATTAACCAGGGAGGTGAAAGAAAGGAGTCGAAACTCTTGTAATTTATTCAAACGCATTCGTGAGTTCTAAAGCGTTACAATGGGATGTACACACAAAAAAAAACATTCCACTTGGCTTTGAAGTTCCATGCTCCGAGCCGCGCTCCCACTGCGGTGAATTTCGGAGGCCAGGCACCAGTTTCACATTTATTACAAAACATTACCGCAAAATTTCAGTGTAAATTATAAACTTTATATGGGGATTGTATTGGGAATAGTGCATCAAAAAATTTATCAAATTTAGGACTCTGCCCTTCCCATAATTAGTGTGCCAGAATTGGTAAAAGAAACATTAGATCCTGACAAAAAGTCAATATTTTAGGATAATGCGCTAATTTGTGCATGTTTTAAATTCCCGTTATGTAATCCATGATTTACAATCTTCGATAACGTTAAGTTTGCTAATGCGTGTTTTTCGCGTGTTTTTTGAAATTTTGCAGTTGAAAAAAAATTGCAAATTACAAAAGTTTCTGTTCGCTTATTCTACTCTTTACACATTCAACAACGGATGAGAAATCATTGAAAGGGGCAGCGAACAGTTGCTGTGATACCATTTTCTGATATAGGAATTCTAAATCCTGAAATGTCATGCGCTCTGTTATCCCACCACCTGGTCAACAGTTGCATATTAGCGCATAACTTTTTCGGCGGCTTGGAGCATGGGGTCAAAGGAGGAGAGCAGCTTGATTCCAGTCCTTCTCTATCACGTCCCTGTATTAACCAAGGAGGATATCTCTTTGCATTAACCTCATAACTTCTTACAGGTGCTCAACAATGAGAGGACTTCTGTTTTTCTTTAGGCATATCGCTAAAGCTAGTAGCCATTGTAATTGTTAGTCTTTAGGGAGTCTTTATGGAGTCTTCAAGGAGGGTCAAATTTGTTTTTCATTCGTTACAGCTTGAGGTTTTCGATAACAGTGACTTTTCGATTCGCACGACGAGAACGTGGACTGCAACGTGTGACATCCTTTTAAGCCACTTCCAGTGCCTTAAAAGGACGTCACACGTGACTGCAAGCGCCTTAAAAGGAAGTCACGCGTCCACGCAAATCGAAAAGTCCCGATTATCTGAATTTATACGAACTACCGTCTCCATGCTTTACACATAGTATTAGATGTATGTATTTTTCCTTTAATGAGGACAACTACTAAAAAAAATAAAGAGAGTCCAAGTTTAGCATGGATGTAAGTAAATCTATGCATTCCTATAATTGTATGTAAACGATGTACAACTTAAATTGTTCATTTTTCCTTCACCCCTTTTTTTTTGGGGGGGGGGGCTTGACAGGACAGCTTGATGTGATCTTACCCGCCAAGAGTCCTCCTAAGGGTTCTCCTATACTGTAGAACAAACATGTCAAGCCGTAAAGAGCTGAAAACACTGTCGGGAAGAGGTCCCTCATAAGCACTGTCGTAAGAGTTGTCCTAGCACCAATGGTGAGCCCTCCGAGAAAGGCTGCGATTCCCAAGAGCCAGAAGAGACGTATCCATGGATCGACAAGGAAGACGACAGCGTTGATGACCGTGAGGAGGATGGTGAGGTCAAACGATGTCATCCATCCGCGATCGACGACGATTCCCTGGCATACGCGTCCCACGACGTTGCCGAGTCCTCCAAAGACCGCTAGGAGAACTGCCTTGGGGAGCGGGAACCCTTTGGCAGCTCCGTGTGGGACTAAGAAAACAACCCATGTGGTGTTCACCATCCCCGTGATTAGCTGATAGAACATGATCAGCCATGTCCATTTCATTTCTAAGAGGATGGAGACCTTGAAAGTGTCAGAAAAGTACCGGAAGCATTTACCTACACAGGTGCCAAATGCGTTGGGTAGGTTAGAGGGCGCTTCATCTATCAAGTTGTTCTCCGAGTCGCTTCTTGTCAGTTCCAGGTGGTCAATGACTACGTCTTCTGATGCAGCATCAATGGCTTCGCTTCCGTCTTCTTCTACAACTGAATAACTAATTTCTTCTGCGTCTTCCTCGTTGCGATGTCCATCCATGAAAAGAACAAAGATGGCATTGTGAAGAAGGAGTCCTCCAAGGATGAGGATGGTTCCTCTCCAACTGTACACCTCGAGAAGAAACTCTGCGAAAATTGGAATGACGATCATTCCGATGGCGTTACCCGAATCAGCGATTCCGTACGTCAATGCAAAATGATCCTTCACTTTTTCGTAGAACATCAACACGCCTGCAAGCCGGACGAATGCATAGCATATTCCTGAAAAACAATGCATACAGATGAGTCTATAAATAGCAAACTGTTCTACTGCATATGCATTTTTATGCTTTTTTACGATGTTTTGACATTTTAAAGATCGTACCAATTTAAGACACGGCTTTCTGCGCCTTTTCCAGACCTGTTTTCTTACTTTAAATGAACTGCGACCGATCCGAATAGAGAAAAGGGGCATTGAGAAAACAAATCCTATCCACGGTAAAACCCAATCGGGGATTCCTTAAATGAATCCTGCAATCATAAACTTGTGCCCCCCCCCCCCCCACGCCCGCACAATTTTTCAAAATTCCTTTGATTAATAAAACAATATTTGGTAAATTTATTTTAAGTGAAGTAAAACTGCTCCCGGTCATACCAGTATGAAGCAATTTTGTGAAATGTTCCAGCGCCTTTTATCAAGGCGGCTCCGCTAAGGCCGGGACTTTGCTTTAAAGCCCCTCTAAAGGTTAGTGTTGGGAGCCTCACAAATTTGATGGAAAACTTATAATTAAATTATATAATGATGTAATAGATGATGGTATTAAACACACACATCTGCAAGGATTCTTTGAAATAAATGTGTTTGAAGACGAATATTGATGAAAGAATACAAGTATCTGGGTTTTCTGGGTACCACAGACAACTAAAAAATTGTATTATTTCAATACATATTGGCCCTAAAATGTATATAGGCTTATTTTGAAGATCCTTGCAGAAGTGTGTGTTAAAAAATAATGAGATCCTCCTTCACATCTTTATACCATTTAAGTGAAATTTTGCCATCAAATAGTTGAGACTTCCAACACTTCAGAAGGGCTTTAAGTAAAGTGGAGTATACTTCTATGGTACTATATAAATGGACATTATCATCGAAATCATAATTATCATTATAAATAATATGATTGTTATTATTGTAAATATAACTATTGTGATTATTACTATTATATTCATTATCATTAGTATTATTATCATTTTCATCAATATATCATCATCATTATTGCTATTATAATACTACTACTACTCCTCCTCCTCCTCATACTACTACTACTACTACTACTACTACTACTACTACTACCACTACTACTGCTGCTGTTGGTTTTACTACCTACTGTTACTACCACTACTACTTCTACTACTACTACTACTACTACTACTGCTGTTGCTGCTACTGCTGTTGCTTTGCTCACCTGATAACAAGGAGAGGATGCTAAACTGGATAACATTGGTGGTGAAACAAAGGCAGCTAAATGAAAGTGATCCGATGACACAGATGATGACGAGCACCCACACCCTCATTCCTTGCACAATCGGTGCGATAAACGGCGCTAGGGGATGAAAAAGAAAAAGAAACACATTTATTTTATTTCTTTATTTTCCGCATCTCAGTAGAAACATGCAAAATATAGAATAATACACATTTCATAAAGTACAAAGGAATACACACAGTAAAAATCCCAAGTAGTTAACAAAAGAGAAATGAATGAGTAACCTAGCTCATGCTGCAATCATAATTATAAACCTTTAGGTCAGTCAGGAATCCCATGACTTTTACAAACCGATCGCCTGTCTGATTATCAAGATATTTCTGATTGGAATTAGAAATTTTCAAAACCGTATGTTATAAATAGTAGTCTTTTGCGGGAAATGAGTATGGTAAAAAACCTGTCACTCAAAGATTTTTACCTTTTTAAGCACTTAATGATCATTTTGAAGCGCAATTTTGTTAGTGCTTCAATATTACACCATATCACAGACACTGATAACACGTAGGGCCATGCATCTCAGATATGTAAAACTGGAAACATTGTCAAACACTGCCTTACAGGAATTCGTGGGAAGGCCTTAGAGCGGTCAAGGAACTTCCTTACTGACCGTCAACTATTATGTTCATATCGGTGGTCAATCGAATCTCAATTGAAAGCGTTACATAATTTTATATAGGGAGTGCCGCAGGGGTCTTTATTTGGGCCATCGTTGTTTGCATGTTATATCAACGACTTCCAGATTTGTTCGAATAATTTTTCCTCCCTTTTCTTTGCTGATGAATCACACATTTTCCTCTCAAATAGAAGTCCCCAAAGCCTTCTGAATGCAGTAAACCACGAACTAAACACTGTTATAAACTGGGTCAATTCAAACTAAATATCTCACTTTGTACTCTATACACGAATCCCATGAAGCTTCTTTAAACTGCGGAATACTTGCGTGGGGGGACAGTTCAAAAGTCCTCATCAATCAACCTTTTTCTTATACAGAAACTAGCTTTTAGAATTATTAACCATACAAGCTATCGAACCCCATACAGCCCCAGTACGCTCCCGCGAACTCATTCATTCAATACAAATATTGAAAGCGTTAGGCGTAAACAAAAAAAGATGTTGTATTGCCCTTTGCGACCGACCGCCAAATCTTGAAAACTACGGTCGGCTTCTTAAAAAAGTGTTTTTAATATTTTTTTTACAAGGTTTTTTTTTGAAAAAAATGTTTAATGAATAAACAAAATATGCATTTTGTTAGTTTAAATGGGATATTAATGCATAAAAATCATCAAATTATTCCCAAATTCTTTTTTTTTTTTCCATATTTTTCCCTCCACAGGGATTTTATTGATTTTCATTTGAAACACATACAAAAATATATATTCAAGGTAATTTACATAATAACATGAATAAAATAAAATTGGCTTTTCAAGATACAAGTATTGTTGAGCTGTTGAGTTAACAGAAAACTAACAAATCAATAATTCATTTCTACCACTCATGGAAAGAAAAACAAATACAGAAATAATATCATTTTAAGTAAACAAATTCCTGAATTGAAACCATTTTCTTGTGAATTTATTATTTCTACAATTCGAATTTGCAATATATTTTTCGTTTTTGAAGTAATTTATAATCGAAACTCTAATACTATCAAAGTCGGGCAATTGTTTCTTTATTTTGCAAGTATACACCATCTGTCGCACCACAATCAGTATACAATTCAATGCATAAATATTTGAACCTTTTAAACCAAATAATTTATCTTGTAATGAAAATGTTAATTTATTTCCGGTTCCAGTATTAATCCAGTGTTCTAACCTACCCCAAATATTTTTAACATGCGTACAATCACATAGCAAATGTATAACTGTTTCAATCTGTTCATTACAAAATGTACAATCTTTTCTTGGGACTAAATTCATTTTAAACAGTAGATCGTTCGTATATAATATGCGTTGCAAGACTTTAAACTGAAACCATCGTAAGCCCACATCAATGGTACAATTAAATCCAATAGAACAATATGTTTCCCAACTCTTATCATTCAGGTCAAAAATGCATTTCCATTTAAGAAAACTTTTACATAGTACTTTTCTTCTCTTTAATAATATTGCATAAATATGTGAACATCCTTTAATACGTTTCATAATAAATGCCATTGTATCTGGGAAAAGAGGTTGTGGCACCTTGTTAAAAAAAATAGTACAATTGTTAAACCCTTGTCTAATTGCATCGCATAATCCATGATAAAAAAGAAAATTTATTTGAATATTATACTTTTCTTGAAAGTGTTCCAGAGAGAAAAAATCACCATTTGTGTCTAAAATATCGTTAACAAAACGAATTCCCTTTTGACACAATTTTTTATTATATATTGAGCTATTGCCTATTTTAATGTAATCATTATTCCATAAGGGTTGGCAAGAAATGTTATCATGATGCATGGACAAGAGCGTACTATAAGCCATGAACATTTCTTTCCAAAAAAGGTTCTTTGTTTTACCTGCCAGTTCCCGAAAATAATTGTTTCCCATATATAATTTTAAATCTTGCCGTTCAGGCAAGAAAGATTGCCAAAGACAGAGGATACTGCTATCTATTGAACCAATTACTAATCTCTTAATCCAGGAAATTTTTAATGATTGGCAATGTGTGTATATATCTATCATTTTAACCCCTCCGTCTGAGTAACTTTGTGACATTTGATTTCTACTTATTTTATCAGGTTTCTCCCCCCATATAAATCTATAAAAGTGAGCATTTATATCTTTCAAAAGATTTTCACCAGGATTAGGGAGGGACAAAAAAGGTAGTTTAATTTGGATACCAACAATGACTTGACGACAGTGATTCTTCCAAGAACAGTTAAAGTATCGTCTCAACCACGATGTCATTTGACTTTTTATTTCTTTAAATTTTTCATTATAATTGTGAATTATCAATTTGGGCAAATCCGTACAAAAGTCTATACCTAAATATCTGAAATAATCATCAAACACCCAATTTAGATTTCTATCCAAAAGAACACCATCTTTCTTGTTTTTAAATCCTCCAATCCAAATCGCATGTGTCTTCTGTATATTAACTTTTAAACCAGACATTGCATTATATTTATCTAAAATGTTTAATGCACTGTTTAATTCCATTACAATGTTAGAAGAGTATCATCTGCATATTGAATTATTTTAAGTTGTCTACCAGGTAAGCTCAAACCAACAATGGAATCGGAATTTCTAAACAAGAGACCTAGTATTTCGGCGCATAATAGAAAGATAAGAGCTGACATGGGATCTCCTTGACGACAACCTCGCTCTATTGAAAATCTTGGAGACAGGTGTCCATTGATTAATAGACAGGATTGAGCATTTTCATAGAATACATTAACCCATTTTACAATAGAGGGACCAAACTTAAAAAAGTGCAATACTTTTCTAATAAAATCATGAGAAGTAGAATCAAATGCTTTTTCAAAATCTATAAGCAGCAATAAACCAGGAATGTCATTGATATCAGTATACAATAATAAATCATATAACAAACGGATATTCTCTCCAATGAAGCGCCCTGACATAAAGCCTTTCTGGTTTTCATGTATAAGAAAAGGAAGTACGTTCTTTAATCTGTTTGCTATACAAGAGGAACCTAATTTATACACCACGTTCAATACAGATATGGGTCTCCAATTCTTCAAATAATGTCTATCTTTTTTTCCTTTGGGAATTAAAGTGATGACTCCTAACTTCTGTGTATAGGACATTCCGGATGAATATGCAGAGTTCAAATATCTCACTAAAAATATGTGTAATTCTTTCCAAAAATGTTTGAAAAATTCGACGGTGTATCCATCTAGACCAGGTGATTTATTATTTTTCATGTTTATAAGTGCTTGATGAACTTCATCGATGGAGAGTTCTCCTTCGAGCTTCTGTGACATTGAAGCAGTTAATTTACTTATATCTGGATCATTTAATATTTTATTTAAGTCTACATCAACAACAGGATTATTTTTATACAATTTAGAGTAGAATAATACAACTTCTGATATAATATCATCATGCGATGTTATCTCCTTGTTTTCAGTAGTGACCAATTTGCATATACGTTTATTCACAGCATTTCTTTTTTCTAAATTCAAAAAATATTTTGATGGTTTCTCGCCATATTCCATCCATTTAATTTTAGACCTCATCTTTATTCCTTCCATTTTTTCTTTTCTTAGTGATTCTAACTGAACTTTCTTTTCATTTAATATGACTAAAGCTCTATTTTTGTCTGTTTTTGATATCAATGCCTTCTCCAAAGCTATAATTTCTTTCTCTAAATCATATTCTAAATTTACCAATCTTTTTTTCTTTCTGGCTGAGTATAAAATTGTTTCACCTCTAATTATGGTCAACAACGTATCAAAAAATAACTGATCATTTACAGTAAATTCATATTGTGTATCTTGTCCTTCTACCTCAAATCTATTTACATTGTTATTATACGGGACAGAATAGGTCTCAATCGTTTGTTGAATGACATCTTTAATATTTTCCACATAACTATCATCCCTTAACAACGAATTATTGAATTTCCAGTAACCTCGACCTACCATACAATGATTTAAATTCAAAGATAGCTTGACCAGGGAATGATCGGATCTGTACCCAGGTAAAATTTCTATTTTATTAACGAGTGACAGTAGTTCAGTGGAGACCAAAAAATAATCCAATCTAGCCGCCTTAAAGGAAGTAGGTTGCCGCCATGTAAACATTTTTTCCAGGACATGTAATTCTCTCCATGGGTCTATCGAATCTAGATCATTCTTCATTTGATCGACTTTTTTCTTGGCATTAGGATTATTAAGGCGAATATAATTATATGTATCTTTATCAAAATCTTGAACCAAGTTCCAGTCTCCGCATAAAATTGTTAATGGATTATCAAAATCCAAAGCAAGTCTTTCAATATCTGCATAAAAACTAACACTATCGTGATTAGGACCGTACAAGGATATTAATGTTATGTCATAGCTATATATCTGTAGGTCTAACGCAACAAAATTCCCTTCTTTTGATCGC